AATGTATTGCAAATTGGAATAAAATTAATAGTTATACAAAGGGATTAGTATATTCTTTTTTGTTGTTGAAAATTAAGGTAAACCCTAGATAGAAAGCTAGACTTTCATTCCTCTATGCTGCCCTAAGTTCTTTCAGTGCACTTGTTATCATTTAATTTTTTGTTGGGCAAATTTGAGATAGTTAAGTCTAACAGCTACCAAATATCAACCGCCCATTTTGTCAAGGTATTTTACCTTCCAAGGCAGTTAGGTAGTGCAGTGAATAGAGTGCCCTGCCTAGAGACCGGAAGACCCGAGTTAAAATTTAGCTTCAGATATTTACTAGCTTTGTGATCCTGGGCAAGTCACTTAACTTTGTTTGCCTCAGTTTCCTCATCTGTAAAATGAGCTAGAGAAGGAAATGGCAAACCATTCCAGTATCTTTGTCAAGAAAACCCCAGAGGGGGTCAGAAAGAGTTGGTCACGATTTAAACAACTGAATAACAAATTCTGCCTTCTAAGAGCTTCCAGTTTTAAGAAGACCTGATACAGTAAAACATTTCAGAACATGAGTGAAATTGCTAGTCTGTGCTCTTCATTTGCATTTAAAGAGCTGCATGCCAAAAATAATTTTTTTTTATGTTTTATATGTTAGTTACAAATTAGTGAAAATAAATATGTATGTTTTTTCCCATCCAAATTCACTGACCTCCTGAAATCTACCTACAGACCATCTGCTGGGAGCTAAATGATACAAGGTTTTTTGTTTGTTTGTTTTGACTAGGCAATGGGATTAAGTGACTTGCCCACGGTCACACTGCTAGTAAGTGTTACGTGTCTAAGGCCAGATTTTAACTCAGGTTCTCCTGACTCCAGGGTGGGTGCTCTATCCACTGAGCCACCTAGCTGCCCCGATACAAGGTTTAAATAAGATTTAGACTCACTCTACCTGCTCTCATGGAATTGACAATCTATTTTTTACAACCAAAATATTTTATTGGCTTCCTATTACCTGCTGAATAGGTAAAAAGTTATGATTTCATCAGTATAGAGAATTCCCAGATGCAGAAAATACCCTACCAATGAAGGCCAGCATCTTGACTAAACTTTATATTATAGTCTTAGGGAGTTTTCTAGATTACGATAGGGTCAAAGTAAAAAAAACAGTTCACTAAATGGTTCATAAGCATCCCTGCCTGTCCACATATTGTCTTAGAAAACCACATATTAACATTATCTTTGTTACTTGTTGTTTAATCATTTCAGTTGTGTCTGACTTTTTGTGACCGAGGGTTTTCTTGGCAAAGATACTGAAGTAGTTTGCCATTTCCTTCTCCAGTTCATTTTACAGATGAGGAAACTGAGGCAAGCAGGGTTAAGTGACTTACCCAGGGTCACACAGCTAGTAAATGTTTGAGGCTGGATTTGAACTTTCTGACTCCAGGCCCAGCACTACCTTGCTACCCTTTACTTATATTCTATTGTATTTTTATTTATTTTGTTAAATATTTCCCAATTGCATTTTAATCTGGTTCTGTCCAATCCTGAGTGGAAGTTGCATGTGAAATCTTTGACCTAGAACCCAAAGAAGTTATGACATACAACTAGAATTCATGAGTTCAATTAGAAGTAAATAAAGATGAGATCTAAGGGTAGGTGGAAAGGAAATCTGGGAAGGTTTCTTGAAGGCCTTTGACAAGCTACAACTGGAAGGGTATGGTAGGCAGGAAATTTGAACTTTATTCAACTAGCAACCGGAAGCCAATGGAAGATTTTGAGTAAAGAAACATTATGAAAAATTCACGCGTAAGGAAACTTAGTTTGAGAGTGGCCAGAAGAATGGAGTGGAGGGGTGACCTCCAATTCATCCTATGAGGAAACTTTTTGCCACCATGATGGCCCAGAAGAAGGGTGAAAATGTGGGAGATGTGGATGATACAGAATCAATTGGACTTGATAACTCAATGTGATAGGTAAGGGAGAAAGAACAGTAAAAAATAAACCATGATGTTTCAAACATGTAAAACTAGATAAAAATGACTGACTGCTACTGACTAAAATTGTCAATTCGGAAGAAGTTGATTTGGTAAGAAAGGTCATAATCTGCATTTTGGATATTCTAATGAAACTATTTCACAAATTATGTGCCCA